ACTAAGCCTTCACTATATTGATGCATACTTGCTACAGAGCACACTAATTTCCAACATTTTTCTTTCCTCTCCATTTCGCTCTCCTTATTTTTCCACACACATTACACAATATGAAAGAAACTTTCAACAGAGTAAATTTACAGAAGTTCTATTAAAAAAAAGAGAGCGGACCTGTTTCATTGTAGGAAGTTGGGGGATTTTTATCACCAAGGCCACGTTCCATTGCTGAAAAGCCAAATCCAGATGCCAGTTCTGAACTTCTGAATATGGTCACGCTTCATTCCCACTTCACTACTAGAATGTCCTGTACATTTTTTGCTGTCTACTGTTGCTACAACTCTTACTGAACACCGAATTTGATTTAAGAACATTATCCTGGCTAACACAAAATTAAAACAGTTCATCTAATTCACAACCAACCCATTTTTCCCATGTCACTGCCCTCAGCAGACTGCCTAATCTACTAGGATTCTACTAGTAGTTATATGACATGCAAAGATAGCTCAAATATATTATTCTAACAGTTTAAACACAATAAAACAGACTTCTAAATGGTCAGCCACGTTTTTTATCCTACCACTCCATGTTTTTTTTTAAGTATCTAGAATTACAACAGTGAAGAAAAAACTGAAAGGAAAAAGCTATTTACATATATTTTCTCATTTCTTAAGTTTAGGCTCAACTTTCCTGCTTGCTAGAATTTCTGAGTTTTTTTCCTACACATTTTCATGATACAGTGTACAATTCAAATAAGAAGTCACAATGTCTCTATTCCCACCATAGGGACACTCTCAGTTATTAGAAGCAAAAAAGGGTCAGTGCTCTATAATTTTGTGAGAAAAGAGATTACTCCTCAGAACTCGAGTTAAAAAAAGTAGCAACACCTCTGCTTCATGCCTTCTCTATGTCTCTGTGCTTGTGTCTCTCATGGGTTCTCCTTCCCCAGTACTACTATAGTCCCCCAGGTTACATTTCAGCAACCTTGAAAACGGGGGACTTTGGGACACATTATTGTTCGGAAACCTACCAGAAAGTACTAGGAGAGCACTCCTTGGCATCTTCTATCCAACCATAACATAACCAATTACCTACACACCAAGAACTGCCTCTTTTCTTAAACATAATGCAAAGGCTGATGTCCTGACTTTGAGAGGAAAAAGGCCATTCCCAAATCTTTAGACATTACAAAACTATGTTTACAGGAATATATGAGGTTTTCCCTCTTAAGTACAGCCAGGGCTGTCCACACTTGGCAAGCTGAAGTTCAGTTTTTGGCCAGCGATGTTGACAGCACTGCAAATTCCCAACTGCTATATACCAAATAACACATTCATGAAGCAATGACTGCTTCTTTTCTCCCAGCAGGCAGAAGTACACCTCAACCACTGCACATGAAATGTGCAATGCACATACACTAAATGAGTCACTCAATTGTTCAGTCCCCATTTACAGCACAGCTACGCATGCCATGCAGGAGAAAGATGATACATCCGACTGAAGTGGCACCCACTGCAATACAGTAAAAGGGAAATATCACCTTCAATACACATCAAAATGTCACCAAACTTATTCCTGCACCTGTGTGATGTATCTTCTTTACATTTTATACCCCTCCAAAGAGTCTTTTAATTACTCAGAGAAAAGCTACATTATATACTTCATACGTTCACTTCAACAGTTGAAAAAGGCTGTATCACTCCAAGTGCAAATCAGTTTACTTATCAAGATTAAAGTATCATAACTGTAAAGAGAACATCATAGCTGCAAAGAGAACACAAGCCAGCAACTCAAGCTGCAGTTATTAGATCCTGGTACTCAAACCAGTATAGCCAGTGAACAATGACAAATCTGAGATTAGTAGGTAACTAGCTGGTTATTTCAAACAAACTATGAACTATGTAATATATTATCATAACTGGAATCCTTAGCTCTGTTCCTTTCAAAACCACTTTGTACCAACTGCTTCTATACAAGGGGAATTCCCAAAGTCACATGAGACCCAGAGCTAAAGCTCATTCTTTTCCTATTCTTTTGGAAATTGGAACATAAGGGGTAAACTGTGCAGAGTGCAATTTCCTTGCCTCCATGAATTCTAGGTGAGCAAAACAAGACACTAAAGACCAAATCAAATATGAATTATTTCACATGTGCTTAGAAGATTACTGGGTTTTGACATGTTCTAACGCCTTCAGAAATTAAAGCACACTGCTCCTCTGACAGGTTTTAGCCTGGAAGCATGCTCCCACTGCATAATTTGAGTTGTGCAAATCCTCACGTTTACTCTGTGGAAACCAAGTTTTCAAAGAGTATGTGTCATTTTTTTCACCTTCATTTTGAGTTTTATATTTTCCTCAGCTTTTGGCATTAATTTCTGGTGACTCAACACGTAAATAAACCCAAGATTGCACATTCAACACTTCGATGAACAAAAATGGTTTCAATCAAATCACGAACAGCACAAATAACTGGTAATAGCTTCAAATTTAGCAGCCGCCTTATAACTCCAAGACTGTAAAACTGTTAATAAGACATTATAAGCAAGTATTCCTTTTATTTTATACTTGCCTTGCCCACATGCAGCCCTCAAAGCTCAAAAGCCCTTTTTTAACTCATAGGCAATTCCTAGACTACAGTAGTTAACGTCTACTATTACTCTTTTACAAATGGGTGTAAAATTGTAACACGTTCACTTCCCTATTTTCCAAACAAAAGTGTCATATGTCACAATTCCTTTCTCCAAGTACAACTGAATGTATCACAAACATGCTGTATAACTGACTGATCAGCATAATACAGTAGGTAGAAAATCTCAGGAAAGCATCAGGTCAAACAAATGTCCTGCGTAAGTTGATTTCACACAGGTAAATCCCTATCCACTTCCAAGAACTATCCAGTCACAGTAAAACCAGTGTCAAAAGAGCATTAACACTGCTGATGCAACTCCTTGGACTCAAAACTTGCTCCCTATACATTCCCAAAGCACCCCAAAGAAAAGATAACAGCCAAGAAAAGGCCACATGGATGTTCCTGGTAGTTTATAAACCACCCACAGATAAAAAATTTCTCAACTGTAAAACTTCAGTTCATCAAGAGCTATGAACAGTCACCAGAGAACATAAAGGGCAAATGCTTCACACGGCCTTCCACGAAACAGTGCTGAAGCTCACATCAGACTGCTACCCAAACTGCACACATCAATTAGCAAGAAATTCCATTTTCGATTCCTATTACTATCTTGAGACAATTACAGAAGCTCCAGAATACAATCCAGTTTACTCCTCCCATATTTAACAGCTTTCTTCAGAAAACCATCACCCTTTATATTTATTCCCACTACTTCTGTGCACAAATGGATTGTTTCCTTTTAAAATCCAAAGAGGAAGTCCAGTTCTACAAGGCAAAGAGCACACTTTTTGAGACAAGCCTTTCCTTGTATTGATTTTAATTACTACCTCTGATACACCTGGCTTGCTTTCTTTTTTTTTATATTACATTCGTAATACGACTTCTATAATCAACAAAAAGAAGCACTTATGTCATCTGAAGTGTCTTCATCATGTCTAATATCTGAAAATATGGTTCCAATATCGTACTACACACCATATACTTCATGAATACTTAAATTCTCCTCAGTCACTCACAGTAACAAATGAAAGGGATACTATATCCATTTACTTATTCCGAAGTGAGAATGTCAGAATTTAAGGCTTAAGCAATACATGGTCTACCTGAAATTGTTTCATTAGGCATGATTGAGAGCAATTTATAAATCGTTTTGCCCCACAACTATGGGGGCAGTTTAGTTCTGAAAGACTTGAACTTCCTCAGGTATTCCTCCAAACTATTAAATAGTTTTAATCAGTTGACACTTTTTCCTCCCCGTCAACAGAGAAACAAGGCCAGTCTGTGTTTCTTATTGGGATTAGCTCCCACAGAGTACTTGAACTACACTTTCCTCTTGATTCAGAGAATGATTTTAAGCTTGTCTTCAATACTGCATGAACCTGTGGGGCCAGACAGATCCAGATCTGTAACTGACTTCTTTTAGCTTCTCCTAGAAGCAAGCTTGCTGAGAAACATACTACAAGTATGCATTCTGGCAGAATAGCTGCTGTATCTACAAGCTAGCTGTATTATATAATAACTAGTCCAAATCCAGCAGGACCAATGCTGAACCTGAGCCAAAGAGCTTTACTAGACAAAACCTCGCTAACCAGGCAGTTAACACAGAGCAGCTTCAGGTGATAAAGCAGTGATGTAGTAAAATAACAAAGTCTCTGGACAAATGTGAAGACTTCACTGTATGCACTAGAAAACTTCCACGTTTCTTCCACTGAAACAGAATTGCTTGCATGCATTCTTTAATATAAGCTCAAGTTCCCCTGTCCTATATTATCTTTGCATTCTCATTATTTCTCAGTCTGCTTCTACAAAGTACTGCTCTAACTGACACAACAGATGCGGACACAGAAGTGAAGGATACAGTAAATTAACAAAGATTTAGGAAGCTCTTCCCTTGTTTTAATAAATACGATAAATTCATAACTACTTGAGAAATAAAAAGTAAAGCAGAGTAAACGCCCCCTTCTCTGGCTACATTAATTCTACCTCCCATATTTTAGTGTCATTTTTAACTTCAGTAGTAACTGGTTTGAATGGGGGGGAAGGAGAAGAAAACATGTCTTTTCCAGTCACCATGCAACAATGAGAAAGCGCTGTTTTGAAACAAAAAAAATACATAAAGTTAAGCTTTAAAAATAAGAAGCTGACACCACTACATTAATCTATTGCCACTGTTTACAGTTCAGTGCCTGGCAAAGTCTTTTGTGTAGAGCCTGGATGTTGTCTCTAGGGATTTTTAGTTAATAAAGCATATACTGCTGACTAAATATCAGCTGACAATGACCAGCTAAAATCTTACAACTTGAAATTACTGATGCGGAAAGTAGCTCACTTTGTATCAACAATCTGCCCCCTTATTTGTCAAGTGCGCATCCTACCTTAACACCAACAGCAACATCGGTGACAATGCTGTAAAGAAAAGAGAGAAAAAAACAAGAAGTCAACCAATTCATCCTTACAAAGCCAACTTTTCAAAGCAGTGTAATTAAAATAGCCAACAATTACCCCAATCGAGAAAATAGATTCAACGAACACAGCAGGGCCGAGGGCAAGTACAAAAGCAACTTTCAAAAGCCAGAGTCCAAAGTCTCAAGCAAGCATGACTCCAAAGCAGCACTGCCAGGAAATCTATTTAGGGGAAATTCGGGTTTCTGTCATCACAGAGCAAAAGAATTTGTAAGTACAGAACTTTTCCACAAACCCCTACTAACTAGACAGCTAGTTCAGCAACACAGCCTACCCTGCAGACCTTACAGTAGAAAGCAATGAACACATTGCTTTAAATCAGCTGTAAAAAAGAGCACATTGGCAGGTACACATATATGAAGTTTAACCAGGTACACCTCTAAGAAATTTAACCAGGTGCACCTATATGAAACTCTGCAACAGGTATATCAAGGCCCATCTTTTTCCTGGAGGTTGTGACATGATAACTCGCACCAAAAGGAACCTAAGCCCGCACCAACAGAAAAGGCAAAACAAGGGTATGTGAAAGCATTCCACAGTATGATACTCATTAATAACAACCCTCCTCAGACGGGCTTTTCAACTACCATTACAATCACAACTAACCATAAAAAGCCTTTAGAACTCTCAATTGAAAGGCTGTGCGCTTGCAACATACCAAGGAGATTGCTTCTCTGTTTGAAGAAGAGTAAACAACTCAATAGGCCATATAGGAGCTGGAAGACGTTGTATTTACACTGAGGAAGGCTACAACCACCAGGTCGAACAAAAAGAAGGCCTGTGTACAATGACTGCCCAGCCCTGGCCCTCTCTGTCCTGAATGGCTGCCTCCTTCTAAACCTTCCCTTCTATGGCCTTCACAGCGAGTCTCCGGCACGCATAAAGGCATCCTTCTACCTGAGGAGGGGGGAGAAGCCAGAGGGCTTATTAGGCAGTTTCTGAAAACAAAAGAGCTCGACATCTGGCTCCTGCTGGTATCGCCCCTCCCCTCCAGCCAGCTCCAAAACAAACCTGAGCCCGAAGGGGCTCCCCACGGCTGAGGAGGGGGGAACCCGGGGCTGCGGGCAGGCAAAGGCGGGACAGAACGACAGCACTAGGGGATGGAGGGGACAGATGGGGCAGATCACGCTCCTTCTTTAGATGCGGCGCCTCTACACTAAGTAGAAGGCGGCCCGAAGCCCTCAGCGGTTCAAACGGCAAACCCCGCCGAGAGGTCCGTTCTGCGGAGCGGCTGAGCCCCTTCTTCCCACCCGCTGTCCCGGGGCGGGAAGCCCTCCTCGTCCCCACCGCCGCCGGGGCAGCGGCCGCTCCCCACTGCCCCAGGGACGCCCCTGGCACCGGGATATGTCCCGCCACCGACCGCGACGGTGCCACGGCCGCGATCGCGACTCACCCGTCCATGGCGGAGCAGGACAGATCGCGGACAAGTGGAACTGGCAGCCGCGCGGGCAACGCAGAGGGGAACGCGGTCAGAAAATGGCGGCCTGGCCTGCACGGAAACCGCCGAGCGTTACCGAGCGCCGCACTCCACTCCCCGGCCCCCCCTCCCGCGCCGCCGCTACCGAGCATGCGCCGTGCTCCCGAGCATGCGCCTCTGCCGCTGCTTGAAGCCTTTGCCAGCAGCCGGGTGCCGGAGGTGGTGCGATCGAGGCCTGCCGAGGGCGGGAAGCTAGCGGCGGCGGAGGGGAGAGGTAACGACAGTCGTTGCTGCCCCAGCGTAACCGCTTCCCGCCTCAGGAGCGGGGACACGGTTCCCGGCGCCGGGAGCAGGACCCTTCTTCTCATGGAATTGTGCAGAGGCCGCGCCGGGCCCGGCACCCCAGGACAAGCACCGACGGGGAGCACGCAAATAAGCCTTTCCACTTTGTCTAAAGGAGACGTTAAGCCTGAAGCTTCTAACATTGAGATGTTAAACAGCGAGATGCTGTGGCAGGGGCTTGGAACTGTATGATCTTTAATGTCCCTTCCAGCCCAAATCGGTCACAGAAACTGTGTGTAAACTACCATATCAGGGTATAAAGGATTCGCTCTACACGGCCACTTGGAAATACAGTTGTCCCTTCATTATTTCTATCCAGGTCTGGATGTTTTGTTACAAATCTTACGCTGTTTGAGACAGAGTTTATAGAAAGAGCTCTGTATGGGAATTGCATTCAAACCTAAAGTCAAAGTAAAGAATTAAGAGCCCAAAACTACACATGTATGTATCTGTACCTGGAACGATTCCACTACGCTTTTACTGCCCTGGTCTCCCTCCTCCCATGACCTGCTGCTCACACTCCTGTTGATGCAGCCCAGCACACGGGGGATTTCTGAGCTCAAGCGCACACTGAAGCAGCTCATGTTCAGTTTCTCATCCACCAACACCCCCAAGTCCTCCTTAGGGGCTGCTCTGAATCTCTTCTCTGCCCAGCCTGTAGCTGTGCCTGGGATTGCTCCGACCCAGCTGTAGGACCTTGCACTTGGCATGGTTAAACTTAATAAGGTTTGCATTGGCCACCTCTCCCATGTGTCCAGGTCCCTCTGGATCCCATCCCTTCCCTCCAGCGTCTCAATCGCATCTCACAGCTCGGTGCCATCATTAACTTGCTGAGGGTGCCTCAGTCCCACTGTCCATGTCACTGACAAAGATGTTGAACAGGATGGGTCCCACCACCAGCCCCTGAGGAACACCACTCATTACCAGTCTCCACATGGACATCAAGCTGTTGACCGCAACTCTCTGCATACGGCCATCCAGCCAGTTCTTTATCCACCCTCTTGACCATTACATTTGCTTAGATTGCCCATGAAGTTCATCATGCCAAATACTGGTTTATTCTTTCTTGCTTTCTACATTATTATATTTCTTAAAGATTACCTGCTTGGAGCATCCTTCACGGATTGCATGTGTTAAGTAACATCAAAAGACCTCAGAGATTTAGAATTGCTTACCACCATCTCTATAAATCCAGTGCATTTTTATAGGTTTACTTCATATATATATATAAAATACCTATAGATTCTGGCATGTTTAGTAGACTTCACACCACTGGAAGTCGGGGTTATAGTTGGTTTCACTTCTGTTTGTTGCCACATCGCGTTGGCAACACAATGTGTTTTTTACCCCCTGGTAAAGCTAAATAAATCTTGTCTGTTTTTTCTTGGTAGAAGTACTGATCCTTCTACTTCTCAGCAATTAGTAGAAAATCTTCTTTCCATCAGATTTATCTCACTTCCTGTCCTGCTTAAGCTCCTTTGCTTTAATAATAATGCCATCTTCAAACCCGTGTTTCTCATCTTTAATAGTTCTGTTTTCTCTTTCTTTTATGACACCTACAAGAATCCATTTGATTAAGTGAGCTAATACTCACTCTGTTCATCCTCTGAGTTAGATACTCTTCCATATAAGGGAGGCTGAGGAGTTGAATGTTTATAGCAGAAAAGACATTGGAGCTGAGGTTGCAAATCCTGCTGAAATAATGTAGGTGACTTCATAGAGCAAAACTCTGGTCCCCCTGAAGCCATCCGTAAAAGTGATAATAAATCCAAATTTTACCTACAGCATTTAATTTTAGAAGGTGAGAAAAAGCTAGTGACAATCAGTGTGTTCCCAATAAAATACCAGGCAACTGTTCATTCAGTAAAACACCTCTTGCAAAACCCTCCATGTTCCATTGTTATAGTATGAAACATGAGGCCTTATATCCCCTCCTAATAAAAATTTAAGTGTCGATATTATTATTAGCTGTACAAAGATTCCATACTTTTTAAATTCGGGTAATCTTATTGCTGCAAGAATACTTTGTTTTCCAAAAGGATTTCTGATCTCCAAGGTCTTTTCCAACCTAGTTGATTCTGTGATTGACTCATTTACGTGTTTCCTTTTTGGTTGTTTCCTTTTTATTTCCAGAGCAGCTAATAACTAATAGACTGTGTAGTTCAGTAGCCGTATAAATGGTGTATGCTTACTGAAAGGCATTCAGTAGAATTGAGGAAGCACACGAAAGTATTTTCTGCAACACACTGTCCCAGATTGAGTCCTTGGAGTTGCTGGGGATAAAAAATAGCACCCACACTCCCAGTGAATATCTTGTCCAAGTATTTGCCTGAGCACTTTGGACATCTGCAGCATTCTAGGGCAACAAGTTACGCAGCTTAAGAAATCACTGTGTGACGAATACTCTCTTTTGTTTGTTTCAAGCCCACTGCCTGAGAATTTCCTTCAATGTCCATTAGTTCTTTTCTTTAAGAAAGATAGATAATTTTCCCAGTTCACCTAACCATGCCATTCATGAATGCACATACGTTCATCAGATCATCCTCAGTTATATTTCAAGAGCTCTAGTTAATGTCTCGTCTATTAGGAATCATTCCATATTTTCAATAATATGCTTTGCCTTTTCCGACACCTTTCCTAATCCTATTCTAGAAGCCCCTAATGGTCCTCATTATTCAAGTTATGAATCAAATGGCTTTATAAAGGTGCATAACAAATGCTTTCTGGTTTATGTCTGGTTTTACATCCTTTTTCTTCTCATAATACCAGTCCCCTTTGCATGCTTGAAAGCTGCTAAGCCACGAAATGATATTTTCACAGACCCCCTGCCTAACTCAAGCACTCTTTGCTGTGCGGAAGTAATTCATTTTGATTCCAGGATTTTGCATGTATAGTTTGGCTGGTTTTCTCCCTTGCATATTACTTCCATTTTTCACCATGGGATTGAACTTGCCATTTTATCATTCAGTCACACAGTATCATGAGAGCTTTCCACAATTCTTCACGGTCAGCTTTTGTTTTTATTACCATGAATAATTCAGCATCAGCAGCAAACGTGGTCGCCTCGATGATCACCCTTTTTACCAGATCATTTAAGAATATGCTGAACAGAGCAGGTCCCTGTGGTACCCTGCCAGTGGCCTCCCTCTGCTTTAAAAATACACTGGTTTTCTTGCCCTCTGTTTAATATCTTTTAATAATCTAGTATTAATAACTCATAAATTATTCATATATCAAAGAAGGTACCTGTTTATCCTGAATCACTTTAGTTTCAAGAGCTTTGGGCAGAGTTGCAACAAATTCTTTTCTTGAATTTGGATCGCATTTTAATCAGACAATGCTAAAACTCAAACTTAGCGACTCTTGCAAAGAATATGATGCTTTTGGCTATTAGGTGCACTTAAACAGTAGCAACTCTTCATTTCTCCCTGTCACCAAACAAAACAGCCCTGTCTCTTTAGTTTCCTCATGTTATTAACAGTAGTGTCACTGCATGGTGTGGCTTAGTACCACAGATACTCCAGATATTATAGGAAAGGTTGATCCTTCAGTTTACCAGTCTTTGCTATATGAAACCACATTATTCTAGCTTAAGCCAGTTCTTATCAACTTCACAAATTCCCCAGAAGCCTTTGAGCAAAGGGCCAACATTTATTAGTAGCTATTCATCTTTTTGTGTTCCTGTAAACAATAGCCTTGATCAGCATTTCTCCCCAGCAGTCTATGTGGTTGATTTACTTTGGTTTATTCAACTGAGTTTTGAAGCTGTTAAGTAGTTTTTACAAGCACAATGCTCTAAACAGATTTAGTCTCTTTTTCAAGTTCAGGTCAGAACTTGCCTTGCTGGTCTGAATCCAGATTGCTCTCCAGCCTCTTCTGTCTAGCATCCTTGCTAGAAAGAGCTTATCTGGGACAGGCTGGGAGCGTTACTGCTCTCTACCATCTCAAACACAAAAACACATGACATAGCTCATACTGTACCTCAGTAAACATTCCTATCAGTTCAGAGGTCAGTTCTTGACAACTAGATTGTTATTTGCCTGCCCAGCTTCCCTCTCTTGCTTGTACTGTATCTACCTGGAGATGTATTTTCCAGAACAAATTCACCTTTTCCCACCACTGTGATTAAATACATGTACATTTACTTTCTTCAGGGCTGGAGACCAGTTTTACTTTTTTATTACAAACAGTGGTGATTGCAAACCTATTTCATATTATCAGGTTTTCTTCGGGTTTTGCCTAAGCTGATAGGTAGTGGAGTGAAGATTATGTTGTGGGTTGTGTACAGCCAGGGCTGCGGCTCTGGGAAGAGAGTACTGCATTCTGCCATGGGAAAGAAGTGAAATGAGTCACTTTTGTTCTGAATGCAGATCTTTATATTGCAGACAGCATAGCTACTGTCATCCAACAGGGACAGTCATACAACCTATTACAAAATCTCTAAGCACAATACTTTTAAAACCATTACTTAATGTTTATTTCTATGTGTGGGTGACAGAAAGAGCAGCTTTAATTCTTAAAGACTCCCTCATTATTACAATTGCTTTTGCCAATCAGCATTGCAGGTTATAGAGGTTCTCCAGCTGAGGAGCCAACACAATATAAATGTACGGGCTTCAATGTGATTTTTACTTCTGAGTACAAGTTTGTTGAATTTGGCTGAATTTTGTGGTGTCCTTATGTAAGGGTATGGCTGACCTGACTGAGCTCAAGCATTTAGCTCAGTGACTCCCTGGCAAGCTGTTACTTTGTGCAGATGAGTGTCCAGTCCTGGCATGTCTCAGCAGGTAGATGCTGATGGGTGGCTGGGTG